ATATATATACTATTTGTATTTTATAAATATTGTCTCTCCTTAGATTCGACTTCACCCCGTGTCCCGTGACGGTTAATGTTTCTGCATAAAGAATTGAATATTAAAATGGGACGTAGCATAGGCATCTTCTAGTAGTACGGGCTAATCCATCTCTCTTTTCAGTTATGACAACTTTTCAGAGTGTGGTAATAATCATTGTTTGAGAACTAGATAGGATTGAAGAAAGTCCTTGCACAATTTAAAATTGCGCAAAAAATTTCTTGTGCATTATCAATGTGTGCAAAACCTTTCTTGCGCAATTTCATAATGCTCGAGTGGTAAAAATAAAATGCGTAAGAAATAGAGCACCCGTTCAGTACGTGACGATTTATGATTTGTTTGGAATAAAATTATAAATAAGTATTTAATTGATTTTCCAATTATCATCAAATCGCAGTTTATTCTAAATTCATCAAATATCGGTTACCTATCCACCACAAAGATACATCTGGGTCAGTTATCATGGCTCTTTGAACTATCCATTCTAGCTCTACTTCATCATTGATTATAGCAAGTTCTCCGTCCTGAGAGGCCTGACAGTCGTACTGCCGTCCAGATACCCACCATTCGCCGTACGTGCTAAATTTGTAGCAGTGGTCTTGTGGGCCTGCGATGTAACCAGTGGGACACGCTGCAAAAAAGTTACCGGTAAGCCTAATCATTTCAATTGTATGATCTTGTGTTTTTAATATCAATATGTCAGCTCCGCCCTATATTTCTAATACGTTGGCGTTCCCACCTGCCCTAAAAACGTAAAATAGTTAGCAAAGATACATACTGTACGTTTCGAATCAAATTGTTGAATCAAATACGTAAAAAATGCAAGAAACTTTGTTTTGCTTTGTTCAGAAGTTGAAATACTCAAATTTCAGGTGACAATAGTCAATGGCGATACAACATTTTAAAGTATTTTCTAACAATATTATTTTAAACAAAATTTACGCATTTCTAATGCGTAATACTCAAGTATTTTTGGCTTTCTTCAAAGAGTTAAACTGCGCTCTCACATGCCAAAAAACACATAAAAAAGAATTAGCAAATTTACATACTGAACCAGAATAGGACAAATAATACGCGTGTGTCCCACAAAACCACATGTGTTTATTCACGTTAACGCTATTTTTAGATGGAACCTGGGATTACTACAATAATTCATTATCAAGCAGCATATTCACTTAACTTACATAATATGTAAGCCGAGAATGATAGGTTGAATCCCTTTTCTCCATTTGGATTTTCTTTACCGATGAAATAAAGCCATAATTTATTTTCAAACACCGTTATCGTCGTCCTGTTAGGCGCTTTTGAGTCGTTTGACATCATAGAACCAGTAAATTCGTAAATGACAGTGCTAACGTCGACACTAAGTCCCGACCCAATTAATAATTCACTGCCTTCATTTCCTGTTTCAAAATCGTGAAAAGTAAGCTGAATTCCGTCTGCCCCCGGCACACTTATATACTGTTGGCACTCTTGTTTTGAGAACGGTGCCGGGTAACTAGGTGACGTCACTGTTGTTGATGGTGGCCTATTCATGACGTTGCAGTCGGTACCTAATTCGTAATTTAAAACGAAATGTTAAGTGAATGAAAAGATACAGGAGTTTATTTAAAAAAAATAATCATAATTATTGGAAAGTTGATAGTACTTGTATCTGCCCTGGATGGGAATTATATAGTTCAAAATTATTTAATGTTTATACAGCCAGGTTAACGGCACTCACTGCGTCAACGATCGTCAGCCGACACGATTTCATGGAGAGCGCAACGCAACTAGGCACGCGCAACGGATCGTATTAAATAATAATCCGCTTAGACCTTTACCGACAATCAGCAGCCGGTGCGGCGTCGCGTCGTCAAAAGCCTATAGAGAGCGGAGGTGGTTTCGACTGTTGTAAACAGCGAGTGCCCGGCTTTTGAAAATAAATTTAGCTTAAAATATTTTTATTTAATATACTTCAGCTTTTTAAATGTCCATCAATGAGACAACTTCTCGCCTGTTACTAGATGCAAATTATGAACACTAGTCTGAAATTTAAGCTTAGGAGCTGTTTTGCTTTGTTTTCTGTGTCTCCAAAAAAAATAAAACCTTGAATTGAATGATTATTTCAACGCAGACCCTGGAATTGGAAACATCTTAACCCCAATTCGACAACTACCAATACAACTTATTGGGGTTTATTTAAATCTCTTGTTGTATGGTATTTACAAAAGCTGAAATGAACATGTTTACGTTAGACGTTTGCTTCATTGAGCTACCAAAAAGACGCCCAAAAAAATATATAATGCGGAACTCTTGCTCACCTTGATATGTAACAGCAAAAACCGGACCAACCTTTGACAGTTCCTCATCAATATGGAGCGCCGCTACCGCCACAGAATAATTTGTAAACGGCAATAAATTATTCAAAATTGCTTCGCTAGCATTACCGGGGAATATTGAAATCGACTCAGATTCTACAACATAAAAATTAAAAAGAAAAAAAGCAAAACATAATAATTAAATAATATTCTAACAAGTCTTTAACTTTACTTTGAATGAACAGGATACAGTAACAATGCCAGTGGAATTTCAGACAATTTTTTCTCTTACCCAATCCATCACTGATATCAGTGAAATGTACGCGATAACCTAATACGTCACACGTGAAATTAGATATCCCCCACGTGACATGGATGCTTGATTCATTAACAGGAACAACATGGACACGCTGGACGTTTGTATCCTCTATTGTATATTCTATTAAAAAAAAGATGATGAACTGTAAATTTCAAAAGATAATACACATATGCATATCATTAGTTCGAGACAACCATCACTTATTTTATTAAATAGAGTTACAGAAGGTGGCCCTCTCCACAAAAGCTTGAACGTCACAGTCAAAGATTCTAAAATATTGTACATTGCATAAATCACATTAGAAGGTTAGAGAGTTAAGTTGATGTATTTTATGAAAGAGAAAGGCAAAGTTTTTTTCTTTTTCTTTTTATTTTTAAACAAAAAAGCAAATCTGGAATTGGAAGGATTTGAAGCGTGAATACCGGGGTTGAAGGAAAAGTACCTTAGTACAACTACATCTGGTCATTCCTAATGATAAATTACTAATACTGTAATATACAGTGTGTGTAGATTAATGTGTTTGTGTCCTTACTTTAACAGTGTGTGTAAATTAATGTGTTTGTGTCGTCGCTTTAATAAGTATCGTTCGAAAATATGACGTATGCGAAGACAGTCCGACAAAAGGCCTACAAGTCTACTTGCAACTAACAGTTTTATTCTTTACTGACTTATCAATACATTCTAGATTTTCCAAAATAAATATTGTTATCTCGTATCGTAGACTTTTCATAGTCAGACATATTTAATTATTATCCGCCTACGGTTTTGGGCTCTTTGTATTATGTGAAATCACGATTCCGAATATCTGGTCATAACTATTACGAACCTTTTGCATTAACTTCACAAATGTAACCATGGTTTGCGCGCATATCACATTGTTGTGCTGCAACTGTACCATCTGATCTCAAAACACCACAATCGTAGTCACCATTAGGCTCTTGGGATCCCCATAAGCTCTGCTGAAACGTGTTCAGAGAACTGCAGTCTATCCAACTCCATTGACGTTCAACAGAGACGTCATAAAGCCCTAAGAAATCATTTTGAGATGTAAACGCTATGGAAATCAAATTTGATATACTGCCTTGACATACTCAAACATTGATAAATGTTACGTGATTAAACTAAATTATTTCCCTTTCTTACCAATCCACCAGGTGTAGTTTTCGTTTCTATTATTTATTTCCGACACTAAATAAGCTAGTTCTTCCTGATCATTTATTATGACATAATCGCCATCGACCGCTCTTTGACAGTTCCCACGCGAGCTGTCCCATACATTCTCGTATAAACTGAAGCGATAGCAGTGGTCGTTTGGTCCAACAATGTATCCATCTGGACAATCAGGGGCTATAACAGAAAGCAAAGCAACTATAAATAAATTAATGCTGAATGAAACACCACAAGGACACTTGGTATAAAAAGAGCAATAACAAAATTCAATTTATATCTACACAACGAGCATTATTAAACCGAATATCAAATCTATCTTTCAGTGATTGACACGGCATTCCATACGACTAAAATATGACCACAACATCACATGATTAAATTAGTTTAGGAAACGTCACACTTCTCAGTTAATCAAGTACATAATCACATCTTTGTCTGTCAGACGAATGGCTGCCAAACAGATTCAGATTCAGATTATTCTTTATTGTCATAACGATGTCATGAGATTTATTTTCCTTGTTACATATGAGTAAAAAAAAATTAAATACATCAAGATACATAAAAATTTAGTTAAATATATATCAAACACATACAAAAATTAATGCACAAAAAACAAGATGAGTTACAATAATAAAAATATAGATAGTGAAATAAATATCCAGATGGCGGATGGTATAATTGAGTTTTTAAATCTGTTATTTTGACTTTAGGTTGACGGAGTCTACCAGATCTATTTACAGCAATGGCATCATGCAATGGATGAGTAGGGTCTTCTAATATAAACTTAAATTTACTTAAAGTAAAGCTCTATGAATGGATTAATTTATTCTGTTTAAACACCATGGATAGCCCACGAAAGTCCAGTGGGGTCCTTCTGGTGGTGATTGGGCAGTACACCGGGAGACAATCCTCTACACTTTTCCGAAGAGTGTACTGCATTCTTTAACGTGCAACTGGGCCATAAATACACACGGGACCAACGGCTTAAACGTCTCATCCGAAAGACGGATTGTAATTTGTTTATTATCTTACCAACAGCTTTACAATCTATCTGATATCTTTGAACCAATGTAAATCGTTCTTTACATGAACCAGTAAAAATAATCCATTATAATACATCATCTTGCCATACAAACAAAGAAACTTCCTGATTTTAATTTTTAAATAATTTATTGGATTGGATTGGATTTATTCGGTGTACACACCAAGGATAGCCCACGAAATTCTAGAAGAAGACTTATTTCCATTGGGGTCCTTCTGGTGGTGATTGGGCAGTACACCGGGAGACAATCCCCTACTCTTTTAGAGTGTACCAAAAATACACGGGACCAACGGCTTAAACGTCTCATCCGAAGGACGGTGCGCTATTGTAACTTGTATTTCAGCCCCCTAGCTGAAACACAAGGAGAGGCAGCGATGGGAATTCAACCGGAGACCTAGACCGTGCCACGGTTCAGCGCACACACAGTGGCTACCACCAGACTGAACTAAGCTGCTCTCACAAAGAGTCAAGATTATCTACATCATTGCCTATTAACCTGTTTAACATCAGTGGCGTAGAAAAGTTTTTTTCATTGGGGGTGGGGATGATTGGCGTGTTAGCCAGTGTCGTAAGCGGGG